GCTAAGATACAAATAATTTTTAGGCATATAATATCAAATTAATTACTTTGCACTTACACTTTTTTTTATAATCAGTAAAAGTTGTGTTTTTAAAAGAAAAAAATATTTAAAAATTAACTTTGAAGAAATTAATTTTGATTATTAACACGTGTTCTAACACGTAACTGTTCGACATTTTCGGAGCTTCGAAACTTCGATATAATTCGACATTTGACCAGTTACACAATCGTGAGTAATTCAAGCTTCCGCCACTTGACAAGCGACGGTACTACCACATGCATATGTGTGTGTAGCCGAATGAAGCTCTCCGAAATTCACGCGGCTTCGGAAAGTGAAGTGAGCCGGCCGAGCGATACGAAAGGCGCGAAGGAGTTAGCTCGTTCATATGTTTCAGTACAGCCAGCGCGAATAGCGCGCTCGAAACGGCGATCGCTCTTTGGACTATTTTGACAGCAGCATGGTCTCTCCGCGCGGAAGGGCGGTCATTAAAAGTCCAAAGAGCGATTGGGCCGTCTCGAGCTCGCTATTCGCGTTGGCTGTACTGAAATGTGTGAACAAGCTAACTACTTCGCGTCTTTCGTATCGTTCGGCCGGCTCGGCTTGCTTCACTTTCCGTGTAAATCCCGGAGAATTTCGTTTGCGTGTGGTAGTACCGTTGCTTGTCGAGCGATGGTGAAGGTTCGGATTACCCATGAAATCAAGTTATTCGAAGCTTCGAACTTTTCAAAAATTAAAATGTCGAAGCTGTTAATAGAAACAATTTTGGTTCTATTAACTAACTGATTGATTCTAACTGACTGATGCTAAGAAATAAGCAACGGCTACGTTGAGACGGACAATTAACATCTTCAGCTGCGTTCGTTGCATTTATTTTGATACAAAGAACGCACAAAACTAATACTATTATTAAATATACGTTTTTGGGTAAGATATTTATCAGCGATGTACGATGTCAAAGTGTTTCATTTCTCCGACTCATGGGATACAAGCAAAGAATCGCCGTGATATCGGTCTATTGATATAAAACGTTTGTTATTTATATTTGCTCGACTTTTCGAGGAAATGGAAGAATCGAACATTTCTCCTTTACTGTCTGCTACCTGTCTGCTGTCTTCACACAAAATTCATCTCGCGACGGGGTTATCGTCATAACCGCGTTATTTAATCTCGTTGTCAGAGTTATTTGCTATTATTAAAGCAGAACTTTCACGAGGACCAATTTACCTAATATTACGTTGTATGTAAAAATAAGAAAAATAAAACATATGCGCGGGATAAAAATAATTCCGCTGCTGAAAGACATTTTACAATTTCACCTTCGTTAAACACGCCTTAATTTTAATTTGAACGTAATTAAAGACGGCGGTTTGCCTTTACTTAAAGCACGACGTTTTAATCTCGCAGTTTGATTACGCGACGCAAACATTTCTATAAAATAAATAACATGAGCGTCGCAGACTCTTTGCATACCCTTGCGCAGCTATTTTATTATGCATTCGCACGTATTTACATGCCCTATTCATAACGAAAAAATCCCAAGGAACGAACGATTCATAATTCAGCTTTCCGGTCGCGCTCGGGATCCGAAATCATCCGCTTCCTCGTTTAAACCTTTCAATCAGGCGATCCTTCGTCGTTTTAGAGTTCGAGACGTTGCTCGATAACTAATTTACATTCGATTTCGCAAAATCCAATGCCGCCGGAGTAGAGAAAGAGCGGGGCAGGGAAAGGAGGGGGGGAGGGAGGGGAGTTAAATAAAAGATCTCTCCGCCGAAAGTCGGCAGCCTCGTCGCTGCGTTGACCTTTGCCGCCAGGTTCAACGACACGCGCGACGATGCTCCCCGAGGACATGCTCGGTATAAAAATTGTAAATCGCCAGATATGAACGGGCGCTTGTGTACCCGGCGGGAATAATCCCGCATTACTATCGGCCTCGGGAACTTCCGTACCGGTCGTCGTGAGTTATGCGCCTGGGAAGATGCAGTCGGGGGCTGCAGGAGGGCTCGCGGGGGTTTAGGAAGCGAGCGAGGATCGCGCAGGGCCATCCCCGACGTTGCGCTGCCGGCTTCTTCATTAATGGTAATGATCGCGCGTCTTGGCAGTCTACGGGAGAACTCGCGAAAGGAAACGTCGCGATTTGTATTCAGGACGCGGGATAGGCGAGAGCCAAGTCGAGACGCGGTGCGGGGGGGGGGCCAGGCCACTGGGTTCGCGAAATAAACCCCTTTGCCTTGGGGTAGCGACGGTGTAGCGCAGCGCCGGCTCGAAAGGGAAGAGCACGGCGCGCTCACCCTCGCGCTCCAGTTCGACTTCCGACAATAAAAGTGAGCTAAGACCACGCACTCGGGCAACCCTCGAGCGGTCTTTTATTTGGCGAGCGAGCTCGCTCCGCTGTGTCCCATCGTATAATCAGGGGAGATTGAGAAAGGATCATTCCGCTGTGTGTTCTACCGGCTAGACAAACCGCGAGACACTGTGGTTCTTGTCATTCGCTAAACGCGAATGAAAATGTATGTGTTTCGAGCGCGTCTTCCCCTTCCGGTGAGAAAAGGGAAATTGGATGAATTTAAAGACAATGAAAAGAAACAAATCCATGGGCGGTGATCGTTGACTTATAAACTCTTGTTAACACGTATGGATGAACAAAACGCAGCTGAGTAGTGGATACATTTATCATTGCCGGAAATCTCTCGCGCGTTTCAATAAATTGACGCGTTGAAATAGCGCGACAAAATAGCGTATACAAATTTGAGCCAAAAAAAAAGGAAGGCGTCGAAACCGATAGCCAACGTTTTATCGCTCGGATAATAGTCCAATAATAAAACAGGAGAAGTCGGAAATCAGCAGCACTCGAGCGCGTCGAAAGTACACGCAGGGAAATTATTTTCACTTTATTACCACAGCTATTGTCTCTCCTGGATAATTATTGCTGAACTTTACGACGGGATACGTATATTTCGCCAAGCGCCATTTCGATAGTCGTGGATTGGGAGTTGGATTGATCGCCGACAATCGACGACTACTACATGTAAAGTTTGTACATAAAATTCTACGAGAGGTATTTCCGGTACGACTAGCAATTTATCGACCCACAAGCTAAAAAGCATCGGTTAAAGCAATTTTGAAACGTACGGAGGCTATTCAAGAATATATGTTATTTTATTATTATTATATGTTATATATTTTTTTTATAGAATATATTCCAAAATTGTCCTATACAATATTTTGTTGACATATTCTGAAGCTCAAGGAAATAATCCTGAAGTAAAAATATTAAAATCACTACCATTTTCGAATTATAAATAATTATACTTAACTAGTATGTGATATCGTTTAGATTTCAATCTAATATTTCTTATTAATTTTCCCAAATAGATATATCTTGCTTTCAGAGCTAATGTTAAGTTTAATAATATTTCAAGCGAGAGTCGTTATTAGTATGTGGGTTAACCATTTCTATGGAATTGAACTTTGATTTTAAAATTCCAGCGAAAATAAAACCTGCTTTTATCTTGGCAGAATATTTTTCTCACTGAGTGAACAGTTCCCAAGCTATTAAATTAATTCCCTAACTAATCCGTTAAAAGATTCAATTTAGACTCGGATTTCTTTGTATCCGCCGATAGCACCGCTGCTTTTCCTACTACTACAAGAAGTTTCGCGTATTTTTAGAGAACGCAGTTCGAAATATGCGTGCGCGCGCGCTATGCAAACCGCGAGTTTATTTTCGGTGAAAATCCTACATGACTCGAGGCGGCCGAACGGTTTAAAAAAATCGCGGTGTCTCTCTGTCGCGTGGGATTTTCAAGGATGCGAAGAAAGCTTTCCGGGGCCATTGTATCAAGTGTCGACGCGGGAATTTTGTCAAAACTCAGACTCACGGCCTGATTCATTCGACGAAGGAACCGTCATTCGCCGTCAGTGCGGAGTCAGTGCATGGTCATCGCTAGTCCATGCCCTCTCACGGGATTAGTCAAATCCAAAAATAATACCGCGCGCGCGCGCGGGCCGCGCACTGCGGTACAAATGGACACGCGGCGATATAAATCAGATATTCTACGCCATCTGAACTTAAGACCCGGTGTCTGGTGTGATGGAGTTACTCCGTTGGACGTATAGGATGCGTAGAGTTATTACGGAAATGAATACGATTGAGCGCCGTGCGCGGATACACGGTGGATTATTTAGTGGGCGATGCTTATTCGGCGTCTTGCAGATTTCGCTCGCCGACCGGCTATTAATACGGCTCTGCCGCGTGAAAATCGGAAACCGAAAATATAACGGTCCGTAACAGGCCATAGTGCTCGTGGTGGTGATGCTAAAATAATTGCGTGTCAGCGTGTTGCATATTATAGCGATAAGTCGGCCGTTAACCGGTAATGAATCAATAACGAATGAGCGGCTAATAAACGTAGTCTAACCTTTCAGGAACGTAATTGGGAAACGCTACATTTATCTTTTGGCCCATCGATTGATTATAAATTATAACTCTGTGATTCTGTTTTATACAGATTTTCAGCCGATTATTACCCTCCCCACGGTAATAAATATTAAATGTACCGCAACAAACATAGCTTCTTGTAATCAATACGCTGTTATTAACGCGCGGCAGTCAGGCGGGTCGAACGGCGCAACCGCATTTTGCAAAATATTTATCATTCCCATTCATACTTTTCCATCAGTTCGGCTATTTCAGACTCGACGACGTTGCGAAATATATTGGAACGGGAACTGTACGCGTGGAATCCCGTATCATTCTTGATCGAAAATATTTTCACATCGATTAAAGCCGGAGGCGACCGCGTCGGTATTTTTTTTTCCACGAAACCAGGGATTGAAAGAGAGAGAGAGAGAGAGAGAGAGAGAGAGAGAGAGCGCGTTAGCCCGTATTTCTCTGTTTTGATTTCGGTTGGCGGCGCGCGGTGTGCAAAGTGGACTTGAAAATAACCCCGCGCCGCGGGAAGACTCCCGGTCCTATTAATAGTTTACCGACGCGAGTATCTTTGTCGCGGGTTCGGCACCATCCGCGCACGGTTCGCCCGCAAAATCCGCCGATACAGTTCGGCAGCGAACGCACGTGTGCGTTCATCGCCCTAAAGCGTCGTTCCCGACGCCGAAGACATCGGCCGGCCGACGGATATTCGAGGCAGCCAGTCGAGCGCGCGAGAACGAAGATCACGACGAGGTCGCGAGAGGCGAGAAGACGAGAGGCCGCGACGTCGTCGCCGAGACTCGACGAGAGTTCCCCCGATTTTTCGCGTTTCCGTGCGGCCGAGCTGGAGGGAACTTAAAAGCGCGGTTTCGAGTGAAATCTAAATAAAGAACTATGCAGCGCGGCGGTTGAGGCGGGGCGCGGTGCCTCGCCAGGCGGAATATGTGAGAGTGAGTAAGAATGGTACAGCGAGCCTCATGCAGCAACGAGACGAGCGCATCCCTCAATGGCGTGCCGAGCAGCGAAGGGAGAACGTCCGGCGTGGACGCGGTGGTAGCGGCGGGTGCAGTGCTCGACGGTGAGACGGCCTCGCTGACACGCAGGTTCTCCTTGTTCAGGTGGTTCAAGCGGAGTCGCGAGCCAACCGTGGAGAAGCGACGGAGGCCGGAGGACGATGGCGTCGTCCGACGACGCAGCGTCTACTCCAGCGTGGAGAGCGTAGACACCTTCTACAGCACCGCCACGGTCCGCAGCTTCGCCTTCCACTCGGGCACTCTGGGCCGTTGCGACGTGCTGTCCTTGGACATCCTGAAGCAGGCGGCCGAGGTCGGCCCGTTCGCTGCCGGGGCCTCGAAGGTGTCCGCGGCTAACAAAGAGAACGCAGTCGCCTGCACGTTGCCGGCGAACGCGCACTCCAGGAGGCGAGAAGACATCACCGCCCGGTACTCGCTGCAGCCGTCGACGACCTTCGGCTCGTGCGGGAATTTCCCCTCGGGCTCGTCGCGGAGGTTCGACGAGCGCGCGAGAGATCTCAACGCGCGGCGGAGGGTCCACGTCAAGGGGAAACGGAGAGCACCGAATCCTCCCGGCGGCGCGCTGCTCAAGGTCGTCGAGGAGGTGAATGTACGCGAGACGGCCAGAAGGCGAAAGCGACGAGCGCCGCGACCCCCGGAGAAAGCAGCGGAAAACGGGATCATCGATGGAGGCATGGACGTAGGAGGGAAAGACGAGGAGCAGTCGATCAGCAACGACACGCTGGTGCTTCAAGGTGGCATGCTGCTGTCGAAGAAAGAGGCTCGCGGGAGCGTCGCGAAGGACGTCGGCCCGTCCAACGTGGCGGTTCTTCAGGAAAGAGCCCAGAGCCCCGTCTCCCCTCTGAGCATGCCGCGACCTTGGTACAAGCGCAGCGTCTTCGAGCACTCCGGCTCGTCCAAGAGGGGCGTCGTTCTCCGCAACCCCGCGACGTCCGTCGCGGTGAAGGAGGAGTGCGTAACCTCCTCGACGAGTTATTCCGTCGACGCTTCCCTGTCGCGGCTGAACTTCTTCCATCGCGGTGACGACCGGATGCGCGAGGCCAAGCGAAAGTCCGGCCTGTCCATTCTGACGAACATCAGCGAGCTGGACAAAGAAGCGGCGGCGATCGTTCAGGAGGAACAAGCGCGGGCTCGGGCGTCGATGCTGCTGAAAACGACGACGCTCGCCGACGCCTTCGAGAAGAGGAACGACGTCAACGAGGAGATCGTCCAAGACATGGTCACTTCGGCGATCGAGGGCTCGTCGCCCCGACGAGGCACCCGCGCGCTCATCTCCAAGTTCAACGCCATCAGCAATATCACCAAGGTCACGGTCAACGCGAACTTCTTCGCTAGGAGGGACCAGCCAGGTTTCAAGTTCGAAGATAGAGACGCGGCGAGGAACAGCGGATTCGAGCGCGTCGGGGACTGGAGGGAGCAGAGACTTCCGACCCAGCGGGATCTCAGGCAAAGCGTCCGTGTCGATAAAGATATATCTAGGTACTTCTTGCCGCAGCAGCGAACGCCGAGGAATAACATTGAGTCGACCCACGTGGATGTTAAGGCGGTAAACGTCAAGACGGGCTCGAGTAAGGAGCGGAACGATCAATTGGTGAGGGATACGTCCAGTAGAATATCGCTTTTGCAAAGCCAGCTTGCGGCGAATCGCATGAGCGAACCGCTCAACACTGCGAGGAACGCGGCGTTCCCGGTAATGGAGGAGAGGTCGAAATCGCGGCAGGAAATCGCCGAGGAAAGGAAGGACAAAGACTCGCCGAGGTTGAACAACGAGACCGGTAGGAAATCCCTGTTTTCTCGCGCTCGTGACTCCGCTGAAAGCACGGAAAACGCGTTAGGTCCTTTAAGAGAGAAGGCGGAAGGGAGCGGGGAGCAGACAGGAAAGGCGCAAAAGGAATTCTCGGACATCTTCGACGAGATCGACCGGCAACTGCGTTCGAGGGAGTTCAAACTCATCGAGCGGAGACCGACAATCGTCGAATCCGGCGGCGTCAGGGCGAAAGTTGCCGAAGATGAAGCCGCTGTATCGAGCAAAGTGGCCAAAGTGCTCGATATCTTGGTCGAAGCCGAGAAGGATAGCAGGACAAAACCGGCGATACAGACGGAAGGATCGATACGAAACAAGGAGGTGCCGCGTTTGATTGATTCGGACCAGAAGACGAAGTCTGGTAAGGCAAAATCAACCGCTCTCAATACCATCGAGGACCCAATTACCGCGGATTTGAAGGAGATGTTGAAGGAGATGAAGCACTCGTTACCGAAGCGGCCGAAGCCGAAGAAGACTACGTCAAACGACGCCGATCTTCTCGAAAAGGTTGAGAAGCGCTCGCCCGTACCTACGAACAAGACCTCCTACATCGCCTCGGTCACGACGAGGACGGAAACGTCGGCAAACGATTACGAGACAGATAAGCAGAAGGTGTCCTCGTCGGCGCAAACCAGTGGAAACATTCGTAGATTAAATCAGCCTTCTACTTCCGCCGAGCGACCGTCTACCTCGGGCTGGAGGCAGGAGAATGTGCTTTACAGAACTTCTGGCAAGGGTTCGGCTCTCGTGAAGAATACTTTCCAACTGATACGACCGCGAGATTTCGCCGAGATAGGAGCTATGAAGACTACGAAGGGAGTTTACAGGGAAAACACTTATGCCAATGTGATAGAGCCTTCGCTGTACGCCAATGCTCATGTTCCACCCTCCTCGCCTAAACAACGATCGGACCAGACGCGACCTAAGGATATTTTGCAAGACGGTTACATCAAGATGCCGGGGAAAACCGTAAACGAGCTCAAAATTACGCCAAGCAAAGACGACTTTATAGAAGAAGGTGACATCGCATGTTGAGGAACAATATTTTGATAGAACCTACCTTCTTAGAAAACTTTTACTCTTGATTTGTGATTGAATTTGTATCGATGCGAGTATTACTTCAACTCAATTCGAGATTAAAGATCTCCTAAGAATATTATAATATTCTTACTCATATATGAGAATATCGATTCTTGATTTAAAACTAATTTTTTCTCTATATTCGTCTAATTTGAAAGAAAATTTGTATTTCATATTCACGGATCACTCATTCAAGAATTCCGTGATTTTTTCTTCTACGTACAAAAACAGAGAACATACAAAAAATATAGAATTTAAAGATATGACAATTCAGAAAAAAATAATGATTTTATAATTAACCCTCTTCTTTCTTGCACATGAAATTTTTATTTTAATGTGTTTATTTATAATTTTTACCTTTTTCTTCGTTTTTATATATTATTCGTTCACTTTAGTTTTAGATGTGAAATATAATATGATTATTGTTGCAGACGACAATTCGACAGCGAAGAACATGAATACTCTAGCTATAAATCGATTATTAAGAAAGCTGGAAGGGGCCATCGCATCAGGCCATCATCAACAAGCGGCGGGATTAGCGAAGGAATTGGCGAGGCTCAAGATCCATTGTTCCGTGATACGGCAGCGATCGGCGGCGCATTTGAAGGATCAGTCGATTAAAGTCAATATGTATATCGAAGACAAACTTGCTCACCAAGGACCCATACCACTTCAGGTGAGTAACGATACTGACGGTTGTTCAATATTCAAACAAGACGCTTCACGTATCGCGCTATGATAACAGCTACCGACGAGAATGACGGTAGCCGAGCTGAAGACAAAGATACACACGGAGTTTGAGATACCCACAAACGTGCAACGATGGATCATCGGAAAAAACTTGGCTGATCATGACGAAGCTACTCTCGATGAGCTGCACGCAGTGGACGGCTCACCAGTGTTTTTATACCTCGTTGCACCCGGTAATTTCAACCATTCTATATGATTCTTGCGGAAATAATTAAACCAAAGTCCATTCTCTGTTAATCGTTTGCTGGAAACGAATGAAAAAGCGAGTGAAAGCGAGTGTAAAGGGGAGGAGAGAGAGAAAGAACAATGTGAAAAGGGAGAATAAGGGCAGTTGAATTTGGAAAAAAGTAAACAGTTGGATTTGGAGCAGCGAAAAGAGAATAGTAAAATTTAGAGAAAAGTAATGAAAGAATTGAGTCGATATTGAAATGACTTCTGCCGAGAGTCCGAAGAGAATTTTTTGAGATCGCGGATGTCGGGGAATTTCGGTCGAGAAGTCTTCGCAAAATCGAGTTCAAATTGAATAAAAAACAAATGAGCTTATACGAACGAACGTGTGCAGGCTGAATATTATGTGTCAAATGTGTCATGACGCATGGGGCTTTTCATTTCTACTTTTGTCTTTTCTATAAATGCATACAAACAACACATATGTCCCAAAGACGTTTCAAAAACGTCCTTTACACGTCTTATTATCTAAAAAACGTCTTTATGACATTTTAAAACGTTGTAATTTTATCTGGGTACATATTACATCGTCTCTCAGTTGTCATATCGTTAATACTTAACACATACTTCAACATGCTGAAACGGATCTATCGGACTGATAAATAAATCTGTTCCTTCGTTATCCTGACGCTGACACGTTATTATTAAATTCATTCAAAATATAAAAAGGAAATGTAACCGTAAAAACTAAATGTAGTATAATGTCATATTGCAGAAATGCATATCAACAATGCAGCAGAAGCAGCAGAAGCGGATAAGCCGCCACCTGCAGAAGACGAAGTTCCTGAGGAAACGCCGCAAAATCCACCAGCGGAAGATTTGCCGGTAATAAATGAAAGTCAAGAAATCACGGAGAAAGAGGAAATGATATTGTCAACTAATGAACATCAGGTAACATGTGCTTCATCTGTAAAATAGCTGCTATTGTTAAGTTATCGCTCATCATTTGTTTGCTCGCTGATCCAACACTTTCAATCGAAGAGAACGATAATGTAACGTAACGTACAGTCGCATAACGTAACGTACACTTTAATATCCTCGTGTAACAATAGCAAGAAACAGCGGAAACAGATATATCGGAAAATGTCAGGATGGAACGATACGAGGAACTGATATTACTAGAGAACTGGGACGTCATCCCGAATTCCGAGTCAATTGAGTGCCCGATATGCTTCGTTACATACGGTCCACGCGAGGGTGTAATACTGAGGGACTGTTTACACATGTTCTGCAGGTACGAACTCCATTAATCTCCTCCATCCTAACTTTAATTATTCTTTAATCCATTAAGCACCATCGCATCACCTAGCCCAACCATGCCGCGCTTATAGATCTTCTACCTTTACCGTAGCAAACTATAACATCGTAACTAGTAGTGTCAATATAACCTTTTCGTGCCCCGGAGAAATCTGTTATTAAGTGAAATTAAAATTAATATTGTGAAATTATATGCTTAACAATTTTTTATAAATAGTGACTTCCCTCAATTCAATGGGCCAAACTGCTAGTTTATATATTAATATTTATGAAAGTTATGATTTTTTATAACTGATATATGTAAGCCTGAGGCACGAAAAGAATAAACCAGGCAAATTTATATACTTGACATCTATATTAAAAATTGAGATCGTAAGAAAGCTGCTCATAAACATCCTTAATAAAAATTATCAAACATCCCGTGGAAACTATGAAAGATTCATAAGCTTGACTAATCAGTTCATTCATCATCTCGAGAGAGCAACACTTCCTGTACTAGTCTATGAATAATGCACTCGTCACAGAGGCTTGAATTAAACCGTTTCATTCTCCACATTTAATATTACGTCGCGACACACTCTCACTCGCGCTCGTAACAATGTTTCTCGGGTACTGCTATTTGGAAATGCTTAATTTGACTTCCGGCTTAGTGCCGCGTTCTATATGGATTTTGTTTTCGCCGTTTCGTGAATATTCCAGTTCACTTCTTCAAAAAGAGGTACGACCTGAAAGTGACGTTTCTTCTCAGGTTGTACCTCTTTCTGAAGAAGTGAACTGGAATATTCACGAAAAGTCGAAAATAAATTCACATAGAACGCGGCACTAACCTGGAAACTAAATTAAACGTTTCTCCATACCGCGGAAGTCTAAAATACTATTTAGAAACTGTCAGAAATAAACAAGTGCTTAAGTATCTGAAATTAAAAATCGCGAGTAATGTCCATCCGTCATTGATTTTCGTAACAGTAACTGTACGGAAAAAACTACAAAAATATGAAAAAAAATTATTGATATATTGCCCAGACAGCACAAAACCGGGAAGTTTATAACCGGGAAGTTTATAAGACTGTTTATAAGACAGCCTAAAAGATGTCTATGCCCAGTTTTAGGTTTTGTGCTTTCTAGATATTGAGGAACAATAGTTCCTCAATAGTATACCAGTAATTTTTTCGTATTCTTGTAATTCTTTTTCCATACGGGGATATCGTATCAGTTGATATTATCATTTGTTTTTAAGATGCTATGTAAAATTTAATTTAACGAAACCTAATAACACTTGAAAGCACTTTATTCTATTACTTCATTTGTATTGTGTCTACTATAAAAATAATTATTATTTTTACTTAATTTCACCTAATAACATTTAAAAGCATTTTATTTTATTATTTTATTTGTCTTATCCATTAAATTAATGATTATTATACAACTGAAGATAATACAAATGAAGTAATAGAAACGAAATGCTTTTAAACGTTAAATTTATGAAAATAATTATTGTGAAAATAATCAGGTATCCGGGAAATAACAGAAAGACTTGAGTATTTAGATAGTACTTACTAATACAACAGGTACTCAGATATCGACACTACGAATCATAACTATCTGTTAACATCAATCGATTTTAATTTATTGCAGTATCGTGCAAAATGCATTTAGTCCGTATTTCTACACATAGCGCATGTATTAAATAGCGATGCACCACGCTTGTATATTTATCTTCTTTATAACGCTGATTCATGCGCATTACGAATGAGGCAACTATATTAGCATTGAGATAAAGCATATACAGGCCTATTTGAACTCCACCGACAAACTTATCGAACAGAATCCATGTTGAATAAATAAAAGAAGTCTTAATAAATATATATGTTCGTAAAAATCTTAATAAATATATATGTTCGTAAAAGTTTGATTCTTGAGATATAGTTTTCAAAAGATAGTAACGACAGAAGAAAATGTTAGGCGGGATAAGAATGCTAATATAACACTTTTTTATCTGTTTTTGAAGATAATATCTGTCAATTGTAATATTTCTGAATTAACCAAGAAATCATTCAATGTGATGTTAATATTATATATCCACAAATCTCGTAACTCTACTGTACCTCCGAAAAAAATAGTGTAATGTACAATAATCTACAATTATATATTTTACTTGTCTGCTTATAATTATCAACAAAGATACTCGTGCTTTATTTTTCGCATAAGTATAATATATAAACATGTTTAATATTTACAGATCATGCATCGCTAATACGATCGAATACTGTGAAGAACCAGAAGTGAAATGCCCATACAGAGATGCCGAGTATACGTGTGAATCGACACTTCAAGAACGCGAAATCAAGGCAGTGAGCTCCTGTGTTTAAAATTAACTGTCTAAGTTTTAATGAAGTTTACGATGATCCTATTACTGTTTATGCCTAGCTTGTCGAGCCGAAAGTTTATCAGCAGCACCTCGCGAAGTCAATCGCACAAGCGGAGAACAACGCCGGAAATAAAGCTTTCCATTGCAAGACCCCAGACTGCCCCGGTTGGTGTATTTACGATGATGACGTGAACAATTTCCTGTGTCCCGTGTGCGAAGCCAATAATTGTCTTACCTGTCAGGTAGGCGTTGTAAATCTTACATCCCCAGAAATACGGGAGAAATAAACGTATAAATTTGCAAATATTTCTCGTCGATATAGATAAAATATTGTTCATTTCCCAAATGCATTTTTAAACAACATGATTGAATTTGGTGTATAATTCTTTTAAATTTTTGTCTTTGCAAACATTCTGAAACTTAAGAAGAAACAGCAGTAGATACTTTGGTATATTGAAAAATATACCATTTTGAACAGATGCAAATATACGCAATTATAAAATTGAAGTAATTTAATTAAAGAGAGAAATATCTGAAAATGTTACTCATGGATCTTTATCTTTTTCGAAATATCATAACATAAAAGCATTACTTAAATGTATTATTAATGTATTATTAATGTATTATTCGTGTAGTAAAAATAATCGTAGAGTTTAGGAAAAAGTAAATAACATATATACACTGACTTCAAAGGTCGTTCATACTGGAAAGAACTGCAAGCAGTATCAGCAATGGTTACAACTATCAAAAGAAACCGACCAGGAGTCCAGGAGAACAGCAGCGATGCTCAAGGAGATGGTCGACAGAGGTGAGGCACTTGCGTGTCCCACGTGTGCCGTCGTTCTTATGAAAAAGTGGGGTTGCGACTGGTTGGTTTGTTCTATGTGCAAAACGGAGATATGCTGGGTCACCAGAGGACCTCGTTGGGGTCCAGGGGTAAGTATTAATTTACCTTCTGCAGTTTGTCAGGATCTCCGAGGGGCTTATATCCCCAACAAACGCGGCCTTATAAATAGTTCACGACATTGTTACGTGTTGTGCTCCTATTGATCGTGCTCGTCGCTTGTCGCAGGGTAAGGGAGATACATCCGGTGGCTGCAGATGCGGGGAGAACGGAGTCAAGTGTCATCCCAATTGCAATTACTGCCACTGAGGAATTACAACTGCCGCGATAACGCGGCCGACGCTTGCGGTGATAATAAAGTGTCCTAGAAATGCTTTTATACTATTACGTGTGCGCTGCTATAACGATTTTACGAACCCGGTCGTGGCACGCAGAGATGTTTTGTACGTGTCTAACGTAAGTTCGAACCGCGATAAATAAGTGCGCGATGAAGGTTACGCTGCTTGCTCAACGATTGATGTTATCGCGACACCGTCATCTTAATCGAATTCGAATGAGGTTGTTAATAAAAAGAGGAATACATCTGACTTTGTACCGATACTTCTTATTCTTATCGTAAATATAAGACAGAGAAATAAGACGTACTTAAAGCTTTAAATAAATCTAGAACATTACAATAAATTATCGATACAAGTATTTTTTTTTTTTGCAATTATACAGGCACCGACTTTTCGTTCTCATCGGGAGCTGTTTCGTTCATACTGATCTGTTTTAATCGAGCAACCAATGTGGACTGATGTTGCGTGAGCTGCTGATTTAAGTTGTTACCGCCTGCGTTCTGTAGCACCTGGACAAGATGCATTCGTGATGTTGTGAGATCCAATTTGCCGTATTTCAAAAAGTTATTCTTATTCAGCAAACGTCCTTCCAGTATACCCGCTGTGTAAGAGAAATAGATTTATTACTTCGCGTGTCTTCATTTTAGTTCTTTACGAAATCAAGTTGCTTACCTAATAAAATAATACTTGGAAACTTTTTGATAATTTTTTCGAAGGGCGCAACGTTAAGGTCAGGACTGAACATAATAATAAATGATGTCTCGTACAACGGCAGCGTTGCTGCGTAAGGTGAATCCTCCAATGCTAATAACATAATTTTCTTATTATATCGTTTTGTATATATATTCGCTTTCCTCAATGGAACGTCCATTTCAAACTTTTCTTCCGCTTTCATGGAATTCATATGGCAAATGGCAACCATTTTGGACTCTTCAAACCAGTTCCGGACTTCACGTGCTATTATTCTTTCGTAAGGATTGTATTCTACCTTCTTCTCTAATTTGTTCAATTTGTTACACAGTTCCACTAAGCTCTTGTCTGCGTTTTTATTTTCATAATAGGGCGTTAAAAAAGTGTTCACTAGTCCTCTCAGATAATGCGGTTTTCTAGGTTTTTGTATGTTGATTTTGCTTCGAAAACGCTTCTGTTGGTAAAGGATTGTGTTTGGAACAATTTGAAATCCTGAAACATATAATAGGATAGTATTAATCGTCAACTCTGAGTGAGACGCCAATTGAGAAGTAACTGGCCACTATTTATGATATTTTACCTTTACATTTATCTTCTATGTTCAATTTTTTTCTTACAATTTCAAGGTACGTATTCGATGAGAACGGTAGTGCGTTTTGGAAGTTTGAATCGATCGGTAACAACGGAGTAATTCCTACTTCTTTCGGAGCTATAAGCTACTTAATTTCGTGTAAACTACATATAAGTGTTTATATCGTAATAAGTACATGATTGGTATCTTGATCGAAGACGAGTAAAAAATTATATATACAGAATTGTGTTCCTTTAACGATACAAGGCACTTTGGAATAGATCATATATATATATACACGTGTATATATATATGTATAAAATATATACTTCTATGTATGCAAGTGTGTGTATATATTTGCAAAACCGCGATATATGTGTATGTGTATTGATTTACTTCTACTGAATTTCTTCCGCGTATCTACTTCGTGAATTCTCATCTTCATTGATTCTACGCGATGTAATTGATTGTTCCACTGCAATAATTACTAGTCTCGTGTCTCGTTTCTATACTATCGCCAAAATTAAGTGATTTCCTGTTCTTGCCCAACCGAAGCATCGACCGGATACCGCCTTTCTTCCGCGAACGCTTATATCGATCGTCTAAGGCTGAATTAAGAGAAGCCTGTTTCACGTCCCCCCGACTGTTTGAGAAACCTTCCCGCTCGTCTTTGATATTATTGCTACTCGTAACTTCACCGTGCACATCGTCCACGAGCCAGTGTTTCCTCGGCGAAAGAAACGTATTGCATCCGGGTATAGTGTACATGTATTCCGATTGAGCAGGATCAACCGACTTTTCGTAATGTTTCGCGGTGTTATCGGTGCTTTTAGTATTTTCAGCCAAGGCCCCTTTGCTCGTGTGTTTCTCGAAATTGTTTAACTTGCCGCCCCCCCTCTTCGTATGATCTTCCAAATCGGCCGACTGATTGCTCGCTTGCTGACCGCTCAATTTCTGGCTGCTTTGCTCCGCGGTCTTATTCTCTCTACCTTCGCGCAGCTTTTTGTTCCTTTTGTAGGTGTCCGTATTTTTAGCGTCGAGCGCCGCGTGTCGTTTCTCGGACATACTCTGCCTCCCCAGAGCGTCGCGAGAAAACTTATTCGACGAGGAATTGAACTCTTCCAGGGACAACTGACTATCGTACGTAGGATCTCCGGAATATTGGCTGTCCTTGTCCTCGCTATTTCGTTTGGTGTCGTTTCCTTGAGAAACGTCGTTGGATTCTTCCAGCAATATCGACTCGACCCGGTCGTCGCGCGAACCTATAGTTATCTTCTTTACATTACTAACAGGCTCTATCCACGTCTTGTTGGTGGCGAGACAGTAACTTTCGTTTCTCAGACTATTCTTGTTGTATTGCTCGGTTAGTCTATCGATAACGGGATTCCATGGTGATGCTGTTACGCAGGACAACAATCCCCCGTTGTCCAGTACGTCCGCTTGGGAATTTAAGGTGTTCTTTTCCTTGACTCTGCCTTCGTTCACTTTAGTAGAATCTGATATGTATATGCTACTGACACATTCCGGCTTACGATAAGACGGTATATTATCTACAATATTCTTCTCACTGTCGTACGACGATATTCTCCTAGCTATCGTAAGAGTTATCACGCCGGTTACCGGGCTGTTTGTATTAAGCATCGCCCTCCTCAAGGTCTCCATCGCATCGGAATTGGACAAGCCCAGTAAAGATACACCATTAACATTGAGCAATTGATCATTCGTCCGCAGACGACCGTCCCTGGATGCTGCACCCCCGTTGATAACACTTTTTATGAAAATCCCCAAGTCCATATTGTTATCATCGGAACTGTTGGTCTTGCCTTTAACGCTGACACCTAAACCAGCCTTTTCAGAATCATGCACGGGTATGTCCAGAGTCAATATCATACGATTCTTCCGTGGTGATAAGACGATATCTTCCGAGGATTTTGTTGATTTATACGCGCACTTCTCGTAATTGTGGCTGGCTATTTTATCCGGCATCTCGTTCTTCTTTGCTGGTGATCGATTTAATGCATTCCAATATTTCGAATTACTGTCCAATACATCCGTGGCCATGGCGGTAGACGTCGCAGTGCCCTGAGGATCTGGAATGTTTGAGGAAATTTCTTCCTGACGTGATACCACCATCCTGACTTTCCCACCGGAGGGGATACTTCTGAGCAATGACACGACTTCAGCTTGACTCTTGCCAGTCATCTCCTTGTTATTTACCTCTAACAATCTATCACCCGGTCTCAGTCTGCCATCCTCAACCGCAGCACCTTTTGGTAATATGTTCTTAATATATATGGGACAATGTCCTCCCGCAGGATTATCGCGTGTGGTAACACTGAACCCTAAACCGTTGCTTCCTTTCGTCAGTTCGATTTCTATCATCCGTCCAATCTTCCTGGTATTCGCTGTTTGTAAAAGATTATAGTTGCTGCACTGAAGTCTCTTGACGTTGTCATCGCCGTCGGTTTTCTCCACTTCTCCGCCGGTATTCCCGACAATTTTCTGCAAAGATTTCTCATTCCTCGCCTTTTGCTTATGCTTAACAACGGATATTTGCAAACAGGGATCGTTCATACACGTTCTGAAGATCTCTTGAACCTTTGAAAATGGTATGTGTAACAAGTTATGACCGTTGATCTTGATGATATTGTCATGCAAGTCGATTTGTCCGTCCCTAGCGATGCGGCCATTCGGTTCGATGCCTTCAACCCTGAGTCCCTGATCGTTGCCTAGCAAGTCATAACATGGCACCACGTGCAGCCCCAGTGGCCCCGCTTCATTTTTTATCACAATTTCACGCACCTCCTGATCCCTGTACTCAATATTATTGCCAAATTCATACGAAGCCTTAGAATCTTGACCTAGCGGCTCCCTTCGTCGGGACTCTCTAGGTAGGGACTGAGCGGAATACGTTGCGAGACAAGGTTCTCTGGTCGACAACGCGTGCATCGACAACCGCTTGGTGCTTTCTCTCTTAATACTACTGGTAGGTACGGAGGAATGGATATCAATAGAATAGGCTTGCTCCTTCCCATCTGTGTGGAAGAAGTCGGGACTATTCGTGCCGACTGAGCTCGCACCGTCTCCGCCAACGTGATTGACATCTGAGCTCACGAAGTGCGCCACTATTTGTTCCCTGTCATCGGCTACGTCGCACAGCCTGTCGTCCGGATCCAACAAACCACCCCCGGTCAGGGAAGACAAGCTATTAATGCTCAGAGTATTGTCGTTTTTGCCAGTGGCCTTTTTGTATCTCAGAATGGCCTCGTGCATGAGATCCCTCACGAACAGAGTACCATCTCCGCACGGGACCACTACCCTGACGTGGTCGAAACACACGGTCACCTTCATGCTGCTCCCGATTTCATATTATGGAAATGCGCAGCAGGTGTGCATTTATAATCGCACCAGTGATGAAACTGTCGTCAGCCGCCGTATGACAATTGATATTCATCCAGAATGCCGTGCAAACACAGAACACTGTCGTACGTGCTCCGCGATGTGGCGGAACGAGTAATGCGATTATCGTCTATCACCCGAGTCACTTCTTTCCATATCTCGATAATGATTCACCGATGCGGATAATTGCGCGTTTTACGACTGTTAGCGGCAGTACCGTCGGGCCGTTCGTGCAACGAGCGCGCGACGCAATAGCTCGAATACGCCCGGGGATATTGATACTTCGTCGGGGATAAATGATAAGGCGGCACGTACGCCCAACTTTATCGGAATATCAAATATGCGGGATAGACGCACTCGCCATTACAACATTTTGGTTCCGCCGTTTCGCTGTCGGAACACCGGAATCGAACAAAATGGCAGCTCACGCAGTACCACCAAAAGAAACTCACAACGTGTCGCGTGAGCGGTCGGGCCGATTTTGGAGGACAGCATGATTTCGCTCGCCGAGGATCGATATGAATTATACGTACCTTTTCTCAGACACTGTGCCATTTTCGATGCGCCCGTCCGCTCGGCTGTGATGTCAGTAAAAAGAACAAATGTATCTCAACAACAAACGGATAATGCGGGTTATAGCAGCACTATTTGTCACGAACTGCGAAGAAATGGTTCCAATCCGCCGTTTCTCGTTCAGAACGCAAACATTATGGATAAATCCGCAATGAACGACCGCCGTTCACTAAACTTGTCCACATTAAATGGATGCGTTGCAAAGTAACAGGTCCGTTCTTTTTAACATTTCCGAACTGAATTTTGTCATCTTTTTATCTCCCGTTTTCCATCAGAGCACGTATTATAAATTTGTTCAGAATCGATTCAACGAATAACATGTTTGCTATTACAGTTCTCAAGACGAGGTGAAAATGACAAAAATGAGCAAATTCATTAGGTGGTGACCGATGAAATGATAAATATTCTGGTAAATTCGCTTACTTTTGTCATTTTCATCTTGAGAACCGTAATAGCTCTTCAAATCGCGCAACTTTGTGCAGCTCTGAAGAACATATTTTATAAATTCCATCAGCATTATTTATAATTATTTACTGCATTCTGATTGGTGCATTACATTTTTTTAAATATTGTCATGCAATGACGTAATGACGGAAACTGCGTAGCAATCACCTAAAATTTTATGACGGATTTAATAGCTTGTATCCATTGACAATTTCTGCTTTATCTACTGCTTACTACCAGTGCGAGTTCTGATTGGCTGCTGCTTTTCTACTTTTCCGTGAAGGTGTGAATTCTCCCTAACTGATTGCGCCAGTTCAGTAGTGCATCTAAAAAGAACAGACCAATGGATACAAGCTGTTAAATCCGTCGTAAAATTTTAGGTGATCGCTACGCAGTTTCCGTCATTACGTCATTGCATGACAATATTTAAAAAATATAAAGAAACGCAACATATAAATTTGTACAATGAAGTGGTTTGTGGGAAGTATTAATGAGGCGGTTGTAACATCAAAATCAAGAAAGGCAATTTTCGTTGTGTTTGTTGAAGGTATGTAACTACAGCTTTAGGTAGGTTAGGTCTAAGTCCAATTGTAGAAATTTTCCTTTTAATTTAAAACAAGTAATAATTCGAAAATACATGACAATACATGGGATGCACAAAATGCATGCTATCGTATCACTAGCCATACTTGTAAAAATCTGGATTTTGTCATATCTTAGTATGTTCTTATAGGCAAAGATGACACATCAGCACAACTTGCCCAGATAATTAATGCTCCAGAAGTTTCTTCTCGTTTGGAAGAAGAGCATTTTGTAGCTATAAGAGTGGAGAGTGAATCCGAGGCTTATGGATTTTTTGTACAGATCTGTATCCTCTTATATAATTCTTGACAGTATTATTACATCTTTTAAAATAATTGAAATAAATTTCTTAATAATTTGTTATGACTTAGACCATATATCAATCAAAACATGAGATGTATATATGGACATTCTAAGAAACAAAATATTGATCACATATTTGGTTTTGAAAATATAGTTATAAGAATGTATAATTTATATTAATATTCTAGCAAATTTAGGTGCGCTAAAAGAATTCTCTATATTTATAATGTTCTTTAATTTTCCTTAAATTAATGATTAGATCAATTGGTACCAGTACCATCATTATTTTTCATTGGAGAAAATGGCACACCATTGGAAATTATTGCTGGTGCTGTAACAGCAGATGATTTAGTATTAAAGATTAATAATGTGTTGACACAAGCAGGAAAGAGCAATAAAAATGCCTCTTCAAGCTTAATTGATGCAGAACAGAAAGCTGCAGCTATTAATACCAATAATGATGCTGCTACTGCTGCTGAATCTGTTGAATCTGCTGAATCTAATATAGATGATGTCGAATGTCATTCAAACACAGACTCTGTCACAGTTGAATCCACAAAGGTAGATATTTCAAACAATAAAGATGTTACAGAAGATTCTATAAAGGCTGCAACTTCATTAAACACAGAAGACAAAGACAATAATGAAAAATCACAGGAAAATGCTGAAACAACAGAAATTCAGAATCAGGAATTGACAGCAGAGGTATGTGGAAAATACATACCCGTGGCCATAGGAAGTTTGACATAATTGCTAAACAATAATTTATATTTGTCGCACGCACATACTGTAGGAAAAGGTAGAGAGAGCTCAGAAATTAATAGAGCTTCAACGAAAACAACGACTAGAGGAGGAAGTGAAGAAAGAACGAGAACGTGAAATCGAGAGGCGCAAGAGAGGACGTGACGTACAAAAAATGCGGCAAATGCAGCAAGATTTGGAGGTGAAACAAGCTTGTGAGGAAAGAATGCGGGAAAAGGCTGCTGAAGCAGCGGCCCGTGAAAAAGTTAGGCAACAAATTGTTCAAGACAAGTTGGAACGGAAACAAAAAGAGCTTGCACTGCAGGTGCTGTTTTAATCATTAGCGTTTAATTTCTACTTCGAATTTGAATTAACCTCAAAGTACATTTTCTATTACTCAACAGCAACAGTTGAAGCAACAACAGCAAGGTCAAGAGCAGCCTAAGCAAAATCCAGTGCCCAGCAACGCAACTGTGACCAGAATTCAATTTAGATTACCATCTGGCAATTCTCATACAGGACAGTTCGAGCCATCGAGTACTCTGCGCACCTTACGCAACTACGTCGTCGAAAATATTGAGCTACCCTTCCGGCAATTCTCTATGTCTACGTCGTTCCCTCGAAGGTTATTGACAAACGAGGAGGACGACAAGACTCTCTTAGAATTAGAACTGGTTCCAACCGCCGTTATTTTAATTCTTCCTTTGAAAAATGTAAATACAGTTTTCAGATTCTCTTTGACGAAGCATCGCATGTGAGTTTATTTACATCTTTATGTCTTCTTACTTTTTTCAGCCTAATGCTACAACAACTGTCACATCGGCACAGGACGTTGGCTTCTTATCTCGCTACATGTGGCCTTTGTTTACGCCCGTCATTGGTGTTTACAACTTCATATTTGTCATAATAGGTTATTTCTTCGGCACTAACAGAAATTCGAATCGCCAACGCAGCAATTCCGACAGCGATGGCGCAGAAACAACAAGAAACGCCGATAGAGCGGCTTCGTCGAATCGCCGAAATGTAGCTCAGTCTTCGGGGTAGGTTTTCTAATAATCGCGCTTTACGTTTGAAGGGCTGTCTATAATAACCGTAAAGCATGCGGTAAGATGTAAGCAGTAAGCTAGTTGACTGAATCATAGTCGATTATTCTTGGACTGTAAAGGACCGTCTACAGTAACTGTAAAGTATACAGTAAGACGTAAGCAGTAAGGTAATTGATTCAACGACAATCGATTTATTTTTGGAATGTATGAATCCAATTGGTCAATTAGTTTACTGCTTGTGTCTTACTGCATACTTTGCGGCTATTGTGGGCGGCTCTTAAGAATTGGTCAATTTGCTTACTACTTGCGTTTTGCTGCATACTTTACAGCTATTGTAGACGGTCCTTTACAGGCACGATTATACGATCATATGCACTTGCACTTGTAATATAATAAAGTTACTAGAGTCATAGAGGTTTCGGTATATTAAACGTTACTATTCATAATACAGTTTGTTTAGAAGATATTTGGGTAACCATGAAGGGACAACAATCAGGGCGCAAGGAAATATACACAGACTGCATTCAGATGGCGATGATAATGATGAAAATAACACTTGGAATGGTAATTCTACACAACAAATGTAACTTAATGAAAATTTAGTTTGTGTCACGCAGCCGATTGCGTTTTTTAATTGATCTTTACTATGTTACAATTGATATTCAACACTTTTCATTGTTAAGCAACACACACGAAAGTTATTCACAATATATTTTTCACGCAAGTCACATGTTCTGACAAACGACTTATAGTATAATATTTAAATCTATACACGTCATTAATATTGTGTGAGAACAATTATTCGTTGAACAATACATCATTGTCAGTAAGGTGAGCTGTTATTTGAATTGCCATTATAACGTAACGTTTATTGAAATGCTTTATTACATTCTACCAAACGTGTATTATAATGCTAATACATATATAAATAATGCTGACGTAACGTTTACTAAAACGATTCTATACATTCTAACAAAACAATAAATACATGAATAGATAATGTTTGGAAAGGGAGATTATATGAAAATGGATTATGAAATGTTTAAGTAACGGGTGATACATGGACCAAATGTAACAAGTTTCGTAAATACCAACGTGCGAACTATATCTCGTGAATTTTCTTTAAGTTCGTATATTTCAAATCTAATATCTACTTTATTAGTCTATATAAATCTTAAGTTTGACAGTGACAAGTTTTTTCTACGTTTCTCAAATCAAATCTTTTTTTTTTCAATGTTTGAGTAATAGAAGATGCTAATTAACATTGTTTCAATAACATATTTCTGCACACTTTTTAGATTGTATAAATTTTATATTACTCACTATTTCAATAATACAATAGGAGTGCGATTATGAATTAAGATAAACAGTGTATGGAATATTGCC